ATCAAGGAAAGGAACACCTTGAGATCAGCCCTAGAGGACTGGGAGGAAGGAGGAGAAGACAGGAGAATATCAGTACCGGAAAAAATGAAAAGAACCCAAATTATTTTAAATCCTTGCGAGTTTGATTATGAATTCGGTATTAATTTGTAAACTCGAAATGAGATAGAACGGAGACGGACGTGAACTGAAAAGCTAAACGATTACGGTCGACTCTTCTTTAATTGACCAAGTGGTTGTCATATTTCTCGAATTGTTGGATCTCATTTATAGAGTTTCGCTCTAATCCAAATATTATCGTAAAATAAGTCATGCCAAATGTCCTTTATAACCTCGCTCACTCATCTTGCCATTACACCATTAATGATCTCCTGCAACTGAAAAATGAGTTTACCAACCAAATTCTCCTTTTGAAAAAGAGTTGGTTGTGTGGCTTTCAAGTCTTTGTACTCAACATAATGGTCAGTGGTTCGACCAGCATTGTTAAATGGTGGTAACCTCTCTCTCCTCCTGACCTAGGCTTAAATGTCTCTTCCAAATATCATAGGAGTTTTCAAATGGAATACGATAATGTTATTAACGATTTTGGTACCGCCTGTTTTTTAGACATAGGGGGTCCAACTGGACCATTTCATATGTGTCCAACAACTGACACAAATAAATACATATCATGCTCCTTTAATTTCCATGGGCAAACGAAAATTACTGCATTCTAGTTAACTCGCAGGCTGGGTAGTAGGGGTGGGAATTCGGTTGCGGATTTGTGGTTAAACCGTTAACACACCAATACAGTGTTGTTAATGGTTAACCGCAAACCAAAAAAATAGGATATTTTGCGGTCACGGTTAGCAATATTGCATGTTTTGCGGTTTGCAGGTTAACCGCAACCTCAACGGAGCAACATGTAACCGCATTTTAACAGATTACTAATGTGGTTACCTCCGGTTAACGCACTAACCACTCTAACCTCCGCCACAACCATAGACCAAAATGTCTCCAAATCCTAAGAATGGTTAGCAATATGGTTAACCGTGGTCAACTGTTAACCGCACTTTGCGGTACGGTCGCGGTTGATGTATATTGTTCCATTTCGGTTGCAGTTAACCGCAACTTACGGTGCGGTTAACCGCAACCGCACCGATTCCCAGCCCTACTGGGCACCCAGACCGGAAATTGAAATGAGAATTATATATAAGTTGTTGGAATGTGACTGATATTAAATTGAACTGCTATTTAATCAACTGTTTTTCACAACAACAAAAAATGTAACTAATATTGTAGTTGACAAGATTAAGTAAATGCATTCACAAAGAAAGGGAAAAAAACTAAATATCGAGTAAAAAAGCGAATAAGAAATTGGTCTAGCGGTTAAACCGTTAGTCTTTTTAACTCGGAGATGAATCTCTTCCTTGTCACCTAATACTAAGACTAATATAATTAGAGCATGTTTCATCATTCTGGGGCAGGGGATACTAAAAAAATTAATGGTAGTCTAACTCTTGCGGTTGTAATCAATTCAATTGTACTTAATTTCTACCCATCCTTGGATATCATCAACTACATCGCCCCACTATATAATTAGAAAGCGACGCTTCCTTTTTCCTTTGTCCTTAAGAAAAAAAAAAGAGTCTTAGAAAAGGAGATATCGTTCATTCGTTTGTGTACATATACTACGGATGCATGTACAAAGCTAAACATGAGAAAGGGAAAATAGATCACAAGTCATTTTTCCTCCTTTTCCCCTCTCTTTCGTGAACTGGGAATAAGACGAACCCCACTGTACTTGAAGTAAGTAAGTAAACCCCACCAACGCGTTGGAAATGAGTTACAACTTACAAGTCAAAGTTGTTTATCTTCAATTATGCACCGACCCGGTTGCTAAAGTTCTTACAAAATATTATATAATGAAATGAAAGGGAATAGTATTGTTCATAATCGTTGTGAATTAGGAGTGTGCGATCATCTCCAAACTTATCAATATGAAGAATCTCCATATTGATCGAATTACGGGAGGAGTGGATGCAAATATGCAATATTAGCTATTGAAGAAAGAAACTAGCTAGCATGGATGAATTTGGGTGAATCTTCATATACTCAGGGGCGGATACATGGGCCAGGACACCCCTAAAATTTGGGGAAACGATTATCCAACCGCCGGTAATAATTTCGTATGAGTATACAAAATATAATTGGTAATCCGGGACACCCTAACATTTGAAAAAATGATTATCCTACCCACGATAATAGTTTGTTTATAATTAACAAAATATAAGTGGTAGTCCGTGTTATTCCAACCTAGGACACTACTATTATCAAACATATTCCAATTATGTTGCTACTCATTTGTTATTCTATTTTAAACACCATGCAACAGTAAAACACTATTTCTTTATCCCCAACTATTTTCAATACCTAATAATTAAACTACGTACACACAACCTTAATTTTGAATTGATTTTATGGTTACACGGCAAGTGTTGAAAGAGTCTTTTCTACTTTGAGCTACATTAAGAACAAGGTTAGAAATCGAATATGTGATAAGTTCGTGAAGTATTGTCTAGTAGGATATGTAGATTTTTTGAACAGTGCAGACACGGAGTTTATTTATATTATTTTTTCAAAATATGAATTTTAATTTATTACTTAATAAAAAATTTATACAAATTATACAAGTATGATATTTTTAATATACGAATTATTTAATTTATTATATAATTAAATTTAATTTTGAAGAGGACACTCTTGTGAAAATTTTCTGAATCCGCCACTGCATATACTCATACTCTTATTCTATCCACAAAATTGTATAGCAATGCACAACAATTCGCGAAAAAACTAATACGAAATGTGAATTGAAACAAAATCTGGAAGGGAAATATCTCTAAATTATGTATTCTGTATTCTGATCCTCAAATCCCACTTACACGTTTGCAAGGACTAACATGATTCCAAAAGAGTCATCAAGCTCCTAATATCTTTCTAATCCTTGATAATTTATTGCTATAAAAAATCAAAACATTTATATTATCAAAATAACTGTCCGGATAGAGCTTCAAGACAAAGGAATGACGGAAATGAAGAGAGATGAGAGTAAAACCCAACCTATTGGGCTCTCTCTTATATTATGAGGAATTGAGGATGAGAATTTGCCATTGCAGTCAAATCTCATGGATAAATTTCCTTAGATAAGAAAAAGCAAGCTTATCACACCAATTTTCATCTCTATTAGCTTTCAGAAATGAGGCAATTTGATATAGTTGTTTTGAAATTATTCGCTATCATTATTGATGCATCATTTCGAAATACTTATTTCAATCCTATTTAAATCGATGCAAAACAGAGTACTTCAAATTACCTCAATCCTATTTTGTATTGTCAAACAAGACAATTTTGACTCAGTTGCTTCAAAATTCCATCATCCAAGCGACTTCCAGATACCCATATACTACCATCATCATCTGTTATTTTAATCCAACATACCATTAGTAGATATTGATGGTCATTGATCAACATTACTATTCATAATTTCAAAAAAAAGCACCTTTAGACCCAAAATAAAAGTTGCAACTTGTAATCTCACGTGATGAATGGTCAGTTTTTAATATTATAATTTCTTGCTATTTATCCTTCTCCCTCTCTTGCTGATCTAATAATGTATTTTAGGCCAAAAAGTGTGTTGATTACACTTCATTCCCTCACTTTTGACTGGTAATCATCTATGCTATTCGAAAGCAAGGATTAATTAACCCTCCAAATATAATAATCCAACTTCTAAAATTCCCCCCACACTGGAAAGGTGTAATGAGAACATATGATGAGTAAAAATCATATAAAAAACGTTTAAATATGTAGCCTCCACCTTTCATCCAACAGGTCCAAATTAATCATAACACTTAATAATAGTAGTCGACGGATTAAAACGTGCTCCATATCTATGACTATACATAGATAACTAGGACTGACAATGAGCATGTTATCGGGTATTTCAATATTCATACTCTGTTCGTGGCAGGTCGGATTCAAATCTGATAATTTATTACAGGGACAAATTGACCTATATATCTAATTTAAAAAGAAAATATTAGACATATTCCTTTTTTCATTAGAAATCAAGAAACAAACTATAATGTGATAAATGTGGTTAAATGATTTGGAAAGTTGTGGTTTTCAACTATTTACAACTTCATTATATCTAAAACATGAGACAATGATAGTAAAATTCTAAGTAATTAGAGTAAAATTATATTCAATTTAGGCAAAAAAAAAAGTTTGAAAATGAAATGAGTGTCAAGTCGATAAGAGTATAGATGTCCACACCGCTAGGGCTGGGAAACGGTGCGGTCTGGTCCAGACCAGGCCATATACACGGTCTGCGGTCCAGACCGAGAGGGTAGAACACAGACCATGGACCAGACTATGAACTATACGGTCCAGACCAGACCACGCCTGTGCGATGCGGTCCGACACGGTCTAGACAGAGTAGACCATGTTCTACAAAACCTGTCTTATCCAATGTTAAATATTAGCTAGTGACTAAAATAAAAAACACATTGATATCTAATCCGACAAAGTTCAAAAAGTCCACATAACACCAACAATTTCAAGTCTACAACCCACCATAACATAAGATTATGCATTCTGACCATTTTCTTATTTCCCAATCCCTTCTTTATCCGTTACTTTTGTTCATGAATAAGCTTTTATTCAACAATAAAGACTGAAAAACCATCCTTACTGGCAACACTTCCGAGAATACATCTGGCCACTTAGTTACAGTTAGATATTGAACTACTTCTACTCTTCTAGCTATCGTTACAATGGAAACACCTCAGAACCACAAAATTGGGGGATTCTAGGTCGTTGCAGCCACAAACATACTAATATAGGATTGTTGTATCATTAGTTGCAGGAGAGTGAAGTTAATAAATTATTACCATTGAAGAACAAACACAGGGGAAGCTGGTCGCGATAGGGGTATTCTCGGTTGCAGAGGCCAGTAGGCAATGGCGGAGTCAATGGCAGGCAGGCGGAGGTTTATGGAGATGATGGAGTTCGACGGGCGGAAGTCGTGCGAGTTGCGATGGAGCTGCTGGATGGCAAAAGGCGAGGCGAGGCGAGGAAACAGATCTGGTGGAGGTCGACGGTGGAAGCCGACGGCGACGAAGCTGCTAGTTTTCCTTCTCGCCTTTCCCTTGCAAACTCTAAGTGGCCAGAAATTATTGGGAATGTCAGTCGACAGGGAATGCCGAATGGAGTTCAGTTAGGGCTACGAGTACTCGCTTCTTGGGACGGTGGGAGAATGAAATTAGGCTTGGCCCATTGGAATTTGGAGGCTTGGAGCTGCTTAGTTGGGCTCAGCCCATACTTAATTTTGGCCCCAGTCTGGACGGTTAACCACGGTCTAGACCAGACCAAATCGTTCCAGACCACAAGTGAAAGAGGCAAATCATGGACCAGACCAAATTGTATTCACGGTCTAACGGTTCGGACCAAACCGTACGGTATGGTCTAAACCGTGGTTTGTCATACGTTTTGGTCTAGATTCCCAGCCCTACACATCGCTCAACTTATAAGCCGGGTATTACCCACCCACAACGGGTCGGGTAAAATGGGTCAAGTCAAAATTGTCTCCCAATAAAAAGGGGTGTGCAACGATTCGGTTCGGACCTGACCAAACTCATGGGACCCGCGGTCAATTAGTAAAAGACATCTTAGAAACAAGGACCGGACCATTCTTGCATTCAGTCCATTTGATCCGGTTCGGTTCGGTCCAAATATGAGTTCGATCCATCATTTCTTCAATAATTATAAAATTAATGAAGACCAAAGATCGGACCGCATTATACTCGGTATGTTCCGACCCGATCTTAACAACGGTTTGATCTGGTACGGAGCGGACCATTGCACACCCCTACCTATAAAACACCATAATTAAAATAAAAAACAAAAACCCAAGCGTGTAACCCCCACACGCAGCTACAACCAATGATGTCTCTCCACGCGTCACTGACCCATTTTCCCCATGCAATACAATGGCAACCAATGTCCCCGCCCCACCACCAGTCATTTCTTGTTTCCCACAAATTAATTCCTCCAATTTTCATATAAAAACCAAATATAATCAGTAGCTAAATTGCCCCCAGATTGTTTCCCACCCTTTCCCCCCTTTTCCCTTTCCTTCTCTGGCGCATTTCATCGAACACATGATCGGCTAACCACCGGAAACAAAGGGATAAGAATCCGTCGTCTCCGCCTCTCAACGGTGGTGATAGCTCCTCCGCCGAGCCCATCCACCACCGTCTCATCCATCCATCCATCCATCCATTCTTACCTCCATCCCTCCAGAAATAAAAAAATAAAAAAGAAACAGCCATGATGCAGACGGTGAAATTCTACCTGGCGGAGCACCCGTCGATCGTGAAATTCCGGTGGAGCCACAGCCAATCATGGGGATCCACGTGGTCATTCCTCGTGACCTCAATCGCCTTCTACCTCGCCGCCGCCACCTTCCTCCACCTCCTCCTCGCCCTGACCGTACGCCGCCGCCGCGGCCCCATCCCTCTCGGCCCGATCCCGGCCCTCCACAGCCTCGCCATGGCCCTAATCTCCGCCACGATCTTCGCCGGGATCCTCCTCTCCGCCGCCTCCGAGATCCGAGAAACCCGCTGGTTCTGGCGCCGATCCAAGACCCCGTTTCAGTGGCTCCTCTGTTTCCCCATCGGAACCCGGCCCTCGGGTCGGGTCTTCTTCTGGTCCTACATGTACTACCTCTCCCGATTCGTCCACATGCTCCGCACTTTCTTCTCCATCTTCTCCGCCCGCCGCCTCGTCTTCTGCCAGCTCTTCAACCACATCATCCTCACCGTCGTCTCGTTCCTCTGGCTCGAGTTCTCGCAGAGTTTCCAGGTCCTGGGGATCATGCTCGCCACCATGGTTTACTCGGCGGTTTACGGGTACCGGTTTTGGACCGCAATCGGGTTGCCCGGCGCATGCTTCCCCTTTGTGCTCAATTGCCAGATTGCTCTGCTCGGAGGGAATTTGGTCTGCCACGTCGGAGTTCTGCTGCTTCATTTCATGAAGGGAGGCTGTAATGGGATCGGAGCTTGGGTGTTCAATTCGGTGTTGAACGCCGCGATTATGCTTCTGTTCTTGAATTCCTATGTGCGGATGCATCTCGTGAGGAAGAAGGAGGCGAAGAAGGAGATTAGGGATTTGAAGAAGGAGGAGGTGGTTGTGGCTCACAACAACAATGGCGGTCAGAAGCAGAGTCAGATTGCGGGTAGGGATGATGATGATGATATGAAAGAAAAATGAAAAATATTGGGGGGATTAGGGTTTTGGGGAACGATTAACAGAAAAAAAAAAAAAGAGGGAAAATGTGTTTGATGGTTGTTATCAAGAGCGTGCGGTACAACGATAAAGCAGTTGTATTTCAATCTGCAGATTTCGAGTTTGAATCTCGATTTCGTTAGTTGATATCAAGCTCTTTAGGATCGTCAATTACCCAGAAAAAAAAATGTTGTATGAGGGTTTTGTGGGGGTTCAAGAGGAGATTACCAAAAGTACAGCAACAAAATTTTCTTGGTAATTTCTTTCTCTTGTTCTTGTTTTGGTGGAATTTTACTTTTTCACCTTGTATATACTATGTGAATATATAGAGAGAATGTTGCAGAGTTTAGATGGTAAGAATGTAAAGGAAGAAGAATATGAGGAGTGAACTTCGTAATTTCCAGAGGTCCCCTTCTCCTTTATGTTTCCCAGTTTCCTCTGTTCATCTTTGTTTCTTTCACCGATAAAGAAGAACAGGGGAGGGTAAAATGTTGGAGTGTAACAGGTTGAATTTTTGTATAGAAACTGTAAATCACAAATAATAAATTTGGTAACATCTTTGTTTGTTTTCATCTAATAATTGATGAGATATATATTGAGAGAAAATGGAAAGGGAAATGTCGGCTACCTAAAAAAAATAATATCATTACTAGTCAGGGAAAAATCGTGCTCATAATCCAGACTGTTGGTAACAGTTCTACTAATACAGCTTAGATACTTTTTTGTCAGAAACATTCCACACGGAATAATTAGACAGAAAATAAGTAACTTACTAGCTAGGTTAGGGACTTCTATCATAATTATATTATTATACATTAAAATCCACAATGTTTATCCTCGCTATATCATCACGGTCATTAATCTCGCCTGTTGATTTTCGGGTTGCTTTACAAAAATTGCTACACAATCTAATAAGTCGTCTTGTTATATGAATTTTGTATAAATGTTTCATTTTCATCAAATAAAGGTACCTATAAACTGACAACGAAATTTACAATGAATCGATAATCTGATTGTGATTCCTCCTTCCATTCTGAGAAGTTTTGTACTCAAATGATCATCACGTAATTAGTGACAGTTTCTGGGAAAACAACCACTATGAAGGAGCATGAAGAATTTGATATATAGGAAAATTGTACAGAACTTGTATACGTTGCAGTACTAAAATGGAGAGAATATTTTTGGAGAATATACCTTCTCATGGCTCTTTACCAACCTACCTAGCTATCTATTCAGGGTCATATTGGAACTTGAAAAAGAATCAGGAAATGGGAGAAAGTTGGAATATTTGGTCCAGAGATTCCTTCTTCAGAATGATGTCTCCAGGCTACTTTCTCACTCAAATAGTGTACTAATTATCTGAATCTGGGAAATGGGGGGCGACAGACAAGTAGGGGTGTCAGTTCGGTTACTCAAACCAAAACCCGAAAAAACTCAAAAATTCGAAATCGAAAAATCACTAAAATCGAACCCGAACCCGATAAGGACTTGCGGGTTCCGGTTACCCGAAACCCAAAAATTTCTTATCGGGTTCGGGTTCGGTTAAAGCAAAACCGAAATCTGAAAATCCGAACGCCTAAAAATACGGGCTGAGTTCTATTCATTGAAGGTTTTTAGCCGGAACCCGAAAAACCGATAAGCAAAACCGAACCCAAAACTGAAAAACCCAAAACCCGAAACAAACCCGAACCCGAAAAACAAAAAATGTATATAATCGGGTCGGTTTCGGATAAACCAGAAAAACCGAACCCGAATTGACACCCCTACAGACAAGTGAATAAACAGATAAAGGTGAACACTATCATTCTTATCATATTATATCTGCGGAATTGGTAATAAAATGCATTATCAATATTGTCACAATCATCTACACATATGGGTTTCCATTGAGCATTGTTTACTAATAGTCATTATTATCAAAGATTAATATATATTATCAAGTATAAAGCTTGATTGTGCTGGAAAGATTTGCACTCTTGATGAAATTAAAGGGGTAGGAAACAGTCCGGTCTGGTCAATCAGATTGAGATTGAACCAAAAATTGTAACTAGATATCGAATTGTAACCTGTTTTTGTTCAAGATCGGATTAGATGCAAACAGTTTGGTTCGGTTTTTTTGCATGGAAAACCGAATTGACACGATAACCACCAAAATCGACCGAACTTAATGGAGCAACATTTCACCCTCTATGATCCCCTTGTCACATAAGAAAAGAAGATAAATTGACAACCAAACTTATGAAGAAAGAAAGTGGAATAATTCTAAGGGAGCAAGCAATTTAGCAGGAATTTATCCTCGACTTGCTTTTCAGGTTGTGATCTCTTCTGCAGAGAAAAAGCTACCAACAAAATCCTCAATTTCTCTGCTACTTCAAGTTCCGATTGCTAGCTGCCAAAAAATAATGCAAGTGGAGAATGGTATTGGTATTGGTATCCAAAACTTCGAGTATCACACGGCCGAGATACATCGGAAAGCAACTTTTTGTCCTTTCTTTGTCCTTGTTTTGGTTTTTTTAGGTTCATGGGCTCGATCGGATCATTCTCGGGTCTTATTAGAGTTTTGCTTTCGTGGGCAATCTCGGAACTCAACAAAATTGATAAATTATATGCAACACTTTACCCAAATTCTACGTCGTTGGGAAGATCTATAATTTATAAGAAACGTTGATTTGTAATTTACCAAAACGTGTTTGAGGTGAAATGAAAGAATTCCAATAATAAGAACTTGTTAAATTACCAAATCATAAACAAGAACTAAAGAACACACAAGCTCTTTTAATGAGGTATCGTCAAATTGACACTAGTTCACGGTGAAGATCTCTTTCTCACATTTTAGTATTATATATGGTCGGCTTGCATGTTTTGCTCTTTACATGCTACGATATTTATAGGGTGAAGATGATACTATACCCCATGTCCTTGTAAAACACGATTACAATAATCATAATATAATTAAACATACTCAATGTAGAACATAATAAAGATGAATAACTTTCTAAAAGTTCAGCATGGTGTGCCCAAAAGCAAAATCATGCAAAAATTAACAAAACAAACAATATGATGGAATGTTACATTATAGCTATAGGTTGCCAATTCAAAATTTGCGGACTTTTTTTTTTTGTTCATGCATTGGCAGGATCTATAATTTGAAACTTCCAATCACAAGAATAATTGTTGGGGGAAGATAAGATAAATAATTATTTCTTGTCGGTTTTCAATAAATGAACATTTCACCTATTCACAAATGTTTCTGTGATTGAGAACTGTTTATCTTTTTCCAGAAAAAAGATACATTATTGGTGGATTAAACTATGTAAGTGAGATTGTTTATCCTTCCTTTTCTTCTAATTGCTGGTCATTTTCATACTTTGGCAATAACAAGAAAAATTACAGATGGTGTCAAGAGATGGTGTTTGGTACTTTCAAGAACCAGAACTCGAGTTGTTGGGAGAGGTTTAATCGTGGATCATATATCCATCTTGATTATTGTATATTGTGACAATTACAACCTAAAAGAAACGAGATTCGGAAGGATGACAAACCGTGAGTTTACAGAGACTCAAACACAATATATAAACTTCGCATATCCATCTTGATAATAGTGATAGTAAACGGTATATAATTCACGATTAAATCTCTTCCAATAATTCGAGTTATTGAGATCAACGGGTTCTTAAAATGGTATCAGAGCCATCTATGAATAAATCGAGATAGGACTTTAATTGATTGATTCATCTCACTAGAAAAGAAGACCACCTTGATTAATTTAAGTTGTTGTGACCATTGCCCCTTTCCTTGGGTACAGTGGCTTAATTAATCCTACCAAGTGGTGTCTCATTGAAATGAACTACTCACGAGTCACGTCTTCAGTTTTGAGTTTGTTTGACACCTTATTTGTTCATGGACCATTCCTTAGCAAAAGTACCACAATTTTTATTTATTTATTAGGCGGACTCTTTTGGGGAAATGAAAACCAACCAACGCCCAATTACATCGACATCTTGATCAATAATTTTACATGTATTGTCTTGTTTTGAACGAGATTATGAGATAATGTTTCAGCTTATTTGGAGGGTGCGTTCTAATCTGAATTCATATATGTCGGGTTATGTTAAGTTGGATGATTCTGAATGAAGAAACTGTTAATAAATGATATATTATTCATAATTGATACTCTTCTAACAATTCGAGTTATCGGGAACAACTGATTCTTGAAATAAACAGAGATCAATTTCAGAGCAACAAATTAATTGCCTCTATTCAAAGAAATTAAGGGGTGATGCCTATGTATATTGATCAAAAAGTTGAACTAAATGGCACTTTAGTATTGTTTGGTGTTGGAATGAGCAACCATACACGCCCTTGCACGCAGTGGCGAAACCACATTGGTAGCACGCAGGGTATCCTCGCTCAATTATCAAAACCATATAAAATTGTAGGGTAAATACAATTTAATATCCAAATCTTTTATTTTAAACAATATAATAGTCAAACCTTTTCGAAAACAATCTAATATTCAAATCGTCAACTTTTTGTCCGTTTGACCGTTAATTGACACTTCATCAAGTTCGAAGTACGACACTTCATCAATATCCATCGATATCTTCTCTAAAAAACCACCAACATATCGTAGTTCCAAACCCGAGAAGTCCATGACTCCACCATGATGGTATAGAATATCTAAATATCCAGTCATCTGCAATGCCAAAACAAGAAACAAAGTTGTATTGTGACAATTTCCCCTAAACAAAGCTTTTTTGAAGTGTCAACTAACGGTCAAACGAACGGAAAGTTGACGATTTGAATATTAGATTGTTTTCGAAAAGGTTTGGCTATTATATTGTTTAAAATGAAAAATTTGGATATTAAATTGTATTTACCCAAAATTGTATGTAAATCTTGTATTCAATTTGGAAAATATAGTACCTGCTAAGGCCTTAAGCCTTGCGAGTTCAAATTATATGAGCGTAGATTTTTAAATTCACATCATTCGGATTTCTGGCCCCTGTCACTTCTTGCAAATGAATGAGAAGCCAAGATATAGAAGTAAAGCACGGAAGGTACAAAGTACATCTTTAAGATACATGTATTATGCTATATATAATTATATATGCTCATTCGAAAGAGATTATCTTACGAATGTTAACATTCCAAAAGATATTCGTGATTTTAGTAAGATAAAATTTCGGGTTAGCAATTCTATAATTTCCAGATAAGTATTCGTTTAAATATTTGTTGAAACAAACCTATACAAACTTTGTTTTGATGTAGTTGCGAGTATAGCTAGGGGAATATAAATCCACTTCTTTAAATTATTCAAAATATTAAAACGACGTTTTCCTAGCTTTGTTTGTTCTCGAGTTACTAGAATCAAGAGGTATAATTAATGAAGCATGATGGGCACCGGAGGTGTACGCATGCATGGCATGGAGGGACCGTAGTACCTTACTCTCCTCTAGCTGGGGACAACATGACGTTCATTATACCTACGGGCTGTTCTACTGAGAAGGCCATAAATTCTCGATCTACCATTTTTTTTTCTAGTACCAAACTGGCTGAGCAACTGAAAGCAAATGCTCGATTCCTAAATACACTCATCAATGCTAGTCTTTTCAATTCAATTTTCTTTCTTGGATTCACGGTAAAGGAGTGGTGACCATCTGATGGAACAACCTCATTACTATGCCTGATTGCCCCCCCTACCACTGCGTGAAAATGTCCTCAGATAGCTCCCACGTTTACCGTCGTTAGATTGACACGGTGACATGATCTACCATTCCACGACTAGAAAATGCGCAGAAGGGTCTACTCACAAAGTATCTGTATAACAAACCTAATTTTAGTGATGGCAATTTGATCCCACCCGCGGGTATTACCTGGCCTGATATGCAATGGGCATGTATTATCTGACCCGCAATAGCGTGGGACGGGGCGTGGGTATCAACTTCCGTCCCGCCTCGTTCTTGGCCCATTCTATCTCAATTTCTTGTAGTATTTCTACATATTTCTCCTATTTTGATATTTTCCCCCCAACTAGTTAGAGTCGATCTTTCAACCTTTTATACTCAATTATCCATTCTATTATTACTAATTTTCATTTATAAAGTGTTCTTCCCTTAGTTTTATCGTAAAAAGAAAAATTTACATGTATTTTTTTCAAATAACATGTAAGAGTGGGTCGACCCGCCCCGTCCCGTAATAGCGTTGCACGGGACATGAGTATTGAGGTACCCGCCCCGCTCCATTGCCATCACTACGTAATTCCATAACCACCAACCACCGGATATGCGGTTTACATGGGGATAACTTGGTCGCTTTCCCGAAGGCAGAGAGAGCACACTGTACTCATTGAGTGTTCTATGCAAAGAAGATGCACTTCTATTACTGCTAAAACCCAAAAAGTGACGAAGGAAGGTATGGACTACGGAGAGTTAACTGGTACACTTGCCTGTGACTATAAAGAGAGTCCTTCATCAACAATACATCACACTTGTTTTGGACCACAAGCTAAGGTCCATATGGCCATCAATTCTGTCTCGTCTTGGACCATCTTTTTCGCAAATTTGGACCAACCCACACGGTTCGACCTACCCACCTCACGAGTCTTCCTTTCTTCCAAGAATAAGATTCTATGGGTTAACCGGATCTAAGCTTTTCAAACACATTCGTAGTATTAGAAAAACCAAAGCTTGAACTGAAAAACGTAGACATGCTCCTGAACATAACCTGGAAAAAGCCTAATCTATATCCCGGATCGGCCACAGTGGACGATTACGTGTTAATCTAGAATCACCTTAAATAGACATTTCTATACTCAAAACACCAAATCATCGATTAAAATTCGTATTCCGGAACGGAGTGCTAATCAGTAGTGCTGGCTAGCAAGTAGGAACTGACCGTGCTCCATGAACTGGGGGACCAGTGCTCTGAGTTTAGTCTTCCTTGTCCCTCGCGCGTTCTCCTTCGTGTGCTGTAGTGGTAGTCGTAGTATGATCCACCGAGTCTCGGGTACCAACCGTAAGAGGCTCTTCCTTGCAAATACTCTGGATCAGCATAAAGACACCGACGAGGAACACGAGTATGTACACAAGTCTAACCCCGATTAGAGAATTGATGAAGCTCATGAAGGAAGGACCGCTTATCTTTCTCTTATCCGTTCGCTCTGCTCTAAATCCCTCAAGGAACTGTGAGATTTGTGTTCCTTGGTCTTCCTCCTCCATTCTTTCTGAGCCCGAAACCTAAAAGAGAGGTAAAGAAGATGTACAAACGTCAATGTTGAGCAAAGATAAAAAAAACTATCTACCACCCCTTCAATCACTTTTTGTATCATTAAACGGAATACCTGCTGATCCCTTCAATTACAATTTCTTATAACTAGCAAACCCTTTATATCTCATAAGCTCGACATTTTTCTAAACTCTTACCACACATTTTTTCCTTACATTTACTCGGGCTAAAAAAACCTTAAAGCAGAACGCAGTGCAGATAAGATTTTTAGATAGATTGACAGTGAGATTCACAGTTGAGTTTAGGGATTGTTAATGCAAATACTTGTTTACGGGATGTCTTTCTGCATAGGCTAATGGGAAGTTTTTGGTGGCACGTGGCAGGCTGATTTTTGTGGTTAGGCTGCTGCAGTTTTGGTGATGTTGAGAGATAGGGTGGTATTTGTATAGCAGAGTATTTGTTTTTGCAGCTTTCCGTAAGAAGTTCGGGTTATTTTTTCTAGAGATTGGTTACAGGTCCTGTTGAGGCCTGTTATATCCCCGCAGTTGCAGGATTGTGTGAGAGAATAAAGCTTAAACTAACCATATGAAGACCATTTTTGCTCAAAAGCTGAAACATACCCAGGATGGTGAAGAATAGAAAACAGAAAATGTTCAGAGAACTTACTACATGATACTCCTCGTCTCCATCCCACACAACTGATCTTGGAAGATTCTTTTTGCCATTGTTACCAAATGAATCAGCAAACTCTCCCCATTGTTTGACTCCGACATAACCGAATACTAAATCACGATTTGCTGATGCAGCAGCCTTCAGTAACTTGATCAAGTTCCTTGATTTTTCTTCCAGTTCATCCTCCACAATGGTCAGCACAATTTTCCTCTGATCGTCCTTCAAAATCTTCAGCGTGTCATGGTTCATCGGTACAGCAGGTGGCAGAAAATTTTGTGTAATGAATGTATCTATAAACTCCTCTGCACACATAAACAACATATATTTATTCATGCAGCCACCAAGCCTATAATTCCCAAGGAAATGATGGAACACGGGCAACCAGCGAGCTAAAAGGATACAATAAGGACAATCAGATTCTGATAAGAGGATCATGAACCCTTCTGCTCTTGCCAAGTAATGATTCACAACCATTCTCAAAAAAAAAAAAAAAAAGTTCCAACTATGTCACTGAATGTGCAATTCACTGACCTTCAAAGGGGCCATAGAAGATGTTCTGCTCATTGTAAGTAGGATGAATAGAGACCAGAGCAGGAGACTTGTCAAAGTCGTACTGAAACATAACATCCTCCGAGAATTTGTTCGCCACAGCAAACCAGGCTTTCTTCTTGTACTTCACAGCTAATTTTGAGATTGCAGACTCATCTAACCCAAACCCCAGATATATTGGGAAGAAAGTACCAGCCCCTTCGACGAACTCCTTTATAGCAGAGTCAGAATCAAGAGTGGCAACATCAGGGGCCACAAATTTCTTCAAGTAACGAACGAGCAAATCGGCTTTCCTTGGACCGTAATAGTCCATTGCCACTCCGTGGATGAAGATCTTTAGAGTTGGATACCCACTACACATCAATCAGAGTACTTATCAGCAACCACATTCTAAACCAAAAATCAAAGGGGCCAAAAGGGCAGTGTGGTTCATACTCAACATCGTATTTATCAGCGAGCCGCCTATACTTCTCAGCATCCATCTTGGCTATAACAATGGCGTCTTTCGATTCAGCGACAATCGCAGCTGCCTTGTCCAACTTCAATCCGTAAACAGCACAACAAATTTAGCTGAGAAATTCGACGAAGCCTAGACCCCCTAAATAAGGTACAGCATCAAAGTCAGAGAAGAGGAAAACTGCGATTACCTCGGGAGCTAGGCGCTTGCAGTGGCCGCACCAGGGAGCGTAGAAGTCGACGAAGATGTGATCGAAGGTGGAAATCGCGGAATCGAAGTTGGACTCGTCGAGTACCAAAACTATGCCATCTTCGACCTTGAAGTCCTCAATTGGCGCCGCCGTGGCTACCGCCGCCACGATCAGCACAGCACAGATTGAGAAGCAGAAGACAATTGGTAATCTCATCATTCTTGCCTTCATTTCTTCTTGTGCTCCTCCCGTGGCTCTCGCCCGTTGCCGTCGGCTGATCTACTTGAGGCTTCTGGCGAATTGCAGCAGTATATTTCCAGCTTTGAAATTTGCTTGTATTTGTTGGATTTCGGATGGCTAAAAAGTCAAAACCGAGCCAAGCCTGCCCGCTTTTTTCTTCTTTCTTTTTCAAACCGATATAAAATGTGTTAAAGGCGGTTTAGCAATAATTTGGTTGTGGTTAGGGGGAGCAGTTCCTGTAAGTAACCTACCGGTGAGTAACTATCAGTAACCACCGGATCGGCCGTCCATTGCACTCCATTATTAATCGTCGGATGTAGAATAGCAAATACACGTAGGGGTATAATAGTAACTGACCTTCTGACAATTTGAAAAAGGTAACTGACCTTCCCCGCCATCATTATCACCAACTCTGTACAAAACAGAAAAATCACAGGCGGTTCGAGTTCCATCCCTGCTTTTCGCTCTGCATTTACGCAATCCATTCTCTCTCTCTCTCTCTCTCTCTCTCTCTCTCTCTCTCTCTCGCATTTCATCTTCGCAAACTGCACCGTTGAAGTCGAAGTCGAATCTCGAATTTTCATTTCGCTTAACAAAGGATACTGATCTCAGTTCTTCAGCGATCAAGTGAGGGTTTCCACTTCGACGTCTTCAGCGACAAAGTTAGGGTTTCCAACTTCAACGTCTTCAACGATCAAGGTAAATCATCACTTCTTTCTTCAAAAACTAGATTCATGATTCTGCATGTCTAAATACCAAACGAAAAACTCTACTACGCTTAATGTTTTCACAATACCACACTGGTACCATGTGGTATTCGAAAGGAAAAAAGTTATAGCACTGGTCAAAGTACTTACAGTGAAATACAAAACATATTCCATACTCTGATTTTTTTTACAATACCACACTGGTACCATATGGTAGAAACCGTTCCAGTAGTAGTCAAAGTAAGAATGAAAAATATTTTATAGGAAAAGTATAAAAACCTATTCTATGCTCTGATTTTCTTACAATACCACACTGATACCATATGGTATTCTAAGGAGAAACCACCTACATACTGGTCAAAGTACTTACAGTGGTATTGTATGGTAGAAGATGGTATGGTATGGTATGGTAGTTGGTGTTTTTGCTTACTGGTATGGTATGGTATGGTAGTTGGTGTTTTTGCTTACTGGTATAGTATGGTATGCAATGGTATGGTATGGTATGGTATGGTAGTTGGTGTTTTTGCTTACTGGTATGGTATGGTATGGTATTTGGTGTTTTTGCTTACTGGTATGGTATGGTATGGTATGGTATGGTATGGTATGGTATAGTATGGTATGGTATAACAATTCTTCTATCCTGGATGCAGGTACATCATGTCGAGACATAGGGACAATTTTCACACAAGGTGCAGCCCAACAAGAATCAACACACTTTCAAGAACATTAACACCTGAACAGAGAGAAAAATTGCAGGAATTAGGCCTTGATGGCTTAACATGCATCCAGCAAACAAAGATAAACAAGAACTTTGCTCTATTCACAATGAACAAGTACAATCCAACAAAGCAATCATTCAAGCTGCCTGATGGAAACTACATGAAGATATCGCCAATTGACTTCCATAGAGTTTATGGTCTACCAATGGGTAAAAAGGAAGTGACGCTCAAGAAATTATCACTGGAAGAAGCAGCAGACTATGCATGTCAAGTCATACTAGAACTAGAAGCTCCAGCTACCAATGGAAGGGTGAAATTAGCTAATGTAGAGCATGACGTTTCTAATGCTCATACCATTGAAATATGGATCAAACTGTTCTGGATTCTGGTTACGGGAGCTCTACTGTGCCCATTTTCAAACCCAACTGCTGAGTTGAATGTGATGGAGTACTTACAGCCAGACAAAATCAAGCATTTCAAAGAATACAATTGGTGCAAGTTCTTCTTCGACTATATGAATGAGGGGTTGAAAGTAAAAAACCTGTACGTCAATGCAGATCTTCATTTCTTAACAGTAAGTATCTATACCCTCAATAATTTCATTTCAATTACTATACCCTAAAGCATAACAAATCCTAGTACATCAATACTAATACAACTGTTTCTCCTTCCCACAAACAAATAAAAGGTATGCTTCATGTACAAGTTGGATGAAATGGCCTTCTCCACACAGTTTCAAATCCCAACAACAAACTACTATGATGACATTGCTGTGCAAAGAAACTATGAAAACATCCAAAGCTACTACGGTGGAGAAGAACTTCATCAGCTCATGAAGATACAGGATAAAGAAGAGAAGATCGATGACAACAGCAGTGATGATGATGACAACAACACAGACCAACAACCATCAACAACACTCATATTTGACTTGAAGATGATCAAGACTATCCCCCAAGTAAGTATAAATTACCATTTGCTACTAATTGTGCACTTCATATAACTAATACCACACATGAACCATGGTGGTAATATATGGTATTGTACTATATAATGCACATACCATCCATAACCACCATGGTAATATGTGATATTCTACTGTAAATATTAACTTACAGACCAAAAAATCAATAATGCAGGCTGAGAGAGCACTGAAGCTGGTGAAAACATCAATGAAAGCTATGTTGCAATCAATCAAGATGCAATACAAAGCTCAAATTGATGAGCTTGTCAAACACAAGGAAATGTTGGAGCTGAAATCTGATGACAACTTTCATGCTGTCGAAGGAGAAAGATCTGATGACATGATTGTCGAAGAAAAGGAAGGAAGTGAGTCTGATGATAAAGATGAAGAAGAAGATGCAAACCTGGAACAAACTCTGAAGAATTTTTTTGACAAGGTACAATCAGAGAAAATGAAAGCAACCACAGTCAATGAGTCTGAAGAAAATGATGATTCTCAACCGACAACAGTGGATCTAGCTGGACCAACACAATGGAAGAAAAAGAAGACTCAAGATGGTTCTCCAACAAAACCAGAAGCTCAACATCAAACAGAAATACCAACAACAGAGAATCCTGCTGAAACTGCTGAGAAGAACCAAGGAAGTTCAGTTCCAGAGAATGTAAACCAGGAGGCCAACACAAAAAGGGATGAAGGAAAGGAGAATGAAATGGATCGAGATCAAGAAGGAGATGACAGTGAGAACACACAGTCAGATGTGCTTGTTTCAAAGGAGGGAGGAAATGGAAAGAACAATTATGAAGAAGCAATCCAACCACCACCACAAAAGACTGCAGGAAACCCCAAAGATGCAAAAGACAGTGACATACCATCTTTTGACATCAGCCCATTCAATCCCCCATCCGCAACAGCAAATATCACCATCACCACAGCAACAGCATCACAACAACAAGAACAACCGCGCAAAAGAAGGATAGTGATCAAGAATCTGCATGGACCAGAGAAGAAAGCAAAAACATCAACCCCCCCCCCCCCCCCACAAGAAAAAACAAGCCAACAGTTGCAGAATAAACCATTCATTGAATGGTCAAACTTGTACTCGAACAGCCAGGAGAGACTACTGGAGATAAATGCATGCTTGGCTGCTTACATTGATGACATCAATACTCCAGTTTCACAACCAATGCCAGGAGTGAGCTCATCAGCAGCAAATGAACCAGTTCAAGCAAAAGATGGTGCCCTAGATGCAATCCCAATTGCAATGATGGTTACACCACCTCAAACAACTCCTGATGAAGTTTTCAATGACATCCTTGAGTACATAAGGTGCAGAGACAACAAAATTGTCGACGAGTAAGTAAACTTCTTAATAGCAATTAATTTCTTAATGACATATGGTATGGTATGGTAAGGTATGGTATATGATGATATGATAGTATGGTATGGTATGATATGATATGGTATGATATGGTATAGTATGGTATAATGTTGAATAATACCACATGGTATAATATGGTATAATGTTGAATAATACCATATGGTATAATATGGTATAATGTTGAATAATACCACATGGTATAATATGGTATACTGTTCTGAACAGGGACGAGGTAATGTTCAGCAGAAAGGATGGCACAGGCTTACTGAAAAGGTCATCATTGCAATCTGTTGACATAGATCAACTGATAACAAATGATATCGTGGACTGGTATGGAGATCGGATGAACAGAGATCAAGCAAAATCAGGAAAAATCTCCAAGTGGTTCTTCTCTAGTCATTTGGCAGTAAGTTTGTCCATATTTTAATGTATTATACTTACCATACCAGAATATATGATTGCTTTAACATAATTTCAAATTTACAGTCTGACTGCAAGCTGGACATAGAAAACAAAAAACCTCCACTAAGTGCAGACCAATACTTCGACAAAGTGGACGAATATATTTCTAACAAAGAATGGGCAAAAGACCTCAGCTTCCAGAACTGTGACCTTGTAAGTAACACATCAAAAACCATAAAATACCATATGGTATGACATCAAAAAACTATTCCTCAAAACATATTTATAATTATCCATTAACATTCTCACTTCATTCATATGCAGTGGTTCTTCCCTTACTGTGATGGTGAACACTACATCATGATCTGTGTCAACATCAAGAACACAAGATTTGATGTACTTGACAGTCTCCGCTACAAAGACTTTGAGAAGACTTACAAACCAGTGGCAGAAAGAGTTGTCAACTATGCAATCAACTACATGAGTGTCTACTATGGGAACAGACAAATCCCCTGGGAGAAGTTTGACTGGTTCAATCTGGGGAAGATTACACAACCAGATAAACTCTCATGTGGATTGTACATAATCAGATGGATGCGCCATTGGGAAGGAAAGTACAAGACATTTATGCAATCAGACTGGAAGAGAGTGGATCTGATCAATGAAGACAGGGAGTGTATAATGATGGATATCATCCTCGACAAAGAAAAACTTGAGCGTGATCGAATTATGAAAGCTGCCACAAAGTACTGCGTTATGAAGAATCAAGGCAAGTAAGGGAAGGAGACAACATCAGTATGGATATAATGTCTACTACAGACATCTGCTTCTGAAACAATGCTTTTGAGACAATATTTTCCTTGTGTGTGTGCGCTTTTGAGACAATATTTTTCTTATGTCTGTGTGCTGTTGAGACAATATTTTTC